GTCCTACCCCCATCCTAACATTCTCTTTACCATTTATATAGTTTAAAGAAATTTCTACTGTTAATTTTTACATTTTCAGCCAATCTTTTTTCACACATCCTTTTTTGATGTCCTAATTTTCTGTTTGACCAACATTCTTGTTCTTCTGTAATCTTCTAAGTCTCCCATTGTAACAGTCAATTTAAATTTTTCAAATTTATGTTTTCTTCAATTTTATCCCTTATAACCTTTGTGAGCCAATCTGGTTTCTTCCTTGCAGCCACCCTTTTTTTTCTGTAAAGAATATGTTTATTTTGAATATTTAAAAATTTGTCTTTAAAAATTTTTCATATTTGATCAGTGTCTCTAAGTAACTCAAGTGCCCAATTCCAAAGAGATAATTCTTGTCATATCCCTTCAAAATTTGCTTTTTTTAAAATTTGTAATTAAAATATCATTATTCCTGATCTCCATATGCAATGATTACTTGCATCCAGATGTTTCCCAATTTCCTCCCTCTGAACCATTTATGTGTTAGGAGTTAACAAATCTAAAATAGCATTGTTTCTAGTAGGTTCCTTGATTAATTGGTGAAGAAAGCCATCTTGAACAGTTTCCAAAAAAACTTTACCCCTCACGGTTTGACTCTAGCATTTCCCAATCTATATGCCTGAAATTAAAATCACCCATAATTATGACTCATTAACATTTGAAACCTTAATCTCATTGTAAAGTTTCTCACTAACTTCATCAGTATCATCTGGTGGTCTGTAACAAATTCCCACTAAATGCCTTTTCCCTTTATATCTACTAATAGAAACCCAACAGGATGTAACTCAGATTTTGCATATAAAGCCACTCCTCCCCATCTCTTTAGTACCCTATCCCTATTAAATAATCTGTAACCCTGTATTTCAAAGAAATTTATGTCATCAAAATCATCTACATTTAACCATGTTTCAGTTATTTCCATTATATTAAAACACTTTCCTATCAGTGCTTTAAGGTCATCTATTTTATTTCTTATACTTGTAGCATTACAACAGTAACAATTAAGCCTATCCTTTATACTCATTTCCTATGCTTAATGATTCTCTACATTTTATTTTTTTGAATTAGTTTATCCTGGCTCTCACCACTGTCTAGTCCTAGTTTAAAACTTCCCTTACAGCTGAGTTAATAGTCCTTGCAAACAAGCCAACCCCTACCCTACTTAAAAGTAAACCGTTCATTTCAAAAAGCTCTTTTCTCCCATTGAACTGATCTCTCAAGTCCAACCAGCTTATCCATACATATTAACCTAAGGCTAGCATTCAGCCCTAGTGACCTACTTATAATTTCATCTCCACAATTAATTCTTAACAGTATCACTGACACAATTAAGTTATGGTTATTTTTCTTTAAATGTCTTTATCAAACCCTTATACTTATCAATTAGCTCCTCTGACCTACCTTTCCCTACGTAATTAGCCCCTGTTTACACAACAATAACTGTATCATTGCTAGCTCACCTTATTATATCTTGCTCCATCCATGGCCTTGGGTAGAATAATTTGATTTTTTTCTTCCTATTTACCCCACCGAATATCCTATCCACATACCTTGTCAAAGAATCACCTATAACTGTAACCTTAAGTTTCTCATTCATATCATTTTCTGTCCCTTTTATTTTCCTTCCCTCCAATAAGTTCTTCATCTGCACAAGCCAAGGACTGAAATCTGTTACTCAATAGAATGTGCTCATTACAATTAAATTCACTATTTTTAACCTTAATAGTACTGTTTCTAACTTCCTGAAAGTCATTGTTAGGTGATGTATCACTTTCATGTAAAACCTTAAGTTTCTTTTAATTCTTGCTACCATTTCCCACAGTTCACACACAACAATGGCTGTCTCATAAAAGCCTTATGCTAGTTTGGCCCTGTTTCTGTGTCCATTACATGTTCATCTCAAGGGGGTAATGTAGATACTTTTACAAGTTGGTATGAGTTGAGTTTCTTCTCTTTGAAAATGTCATTTGGATAAGTTACTCACATAAATAATCTATGGATTTTAGGCTATTGCAGTGAAGTATAGTGGTTGCTGGCATTCTCCTGGGCAAATGTTTTTTAAAATCTTCATTACCCTTGCAACTATTTGAAATCATAATAGGAAATAGAAGCTGACCAGTTGGTAACCAACACAAACATTATGGTGAATAAAGGTATTGTTTGTTCACTTGTGGCCCCCCTCTCGCTGAATTTTACATCTATTCTGTACATAATACTTTCTGAACTTATCATTTTGTGGAAACTCTTTGCTGTGTGTATGATATCAGTGCATCTGAATATCACGTAAAAATGACTTTCTTTACTTTATTTATGTAAGACTGACCATTGGTAGGTGACTATATGAAAATATATTCATTTTGCAATGTTCAGTTAATAATAAGTACAGCAATGCTTTAATGCATGGATATAGATTTTTAACAATTCAAAACTTCTGTTGTAATGGTTACTTTGTGTATATTACTTACTGACATTGTAATAAATGATTGTTTTTAGGTTTCATAGATGGCTGTGTAAGTTCATCAGTTCGATTACTGTTAATGGCAATTAACATAACTAACTTATTATAATGGTTGAATTTAATAATCATCAAATTAAATAAGTTTCAATAAACACTTGTTTGTTTCGTAAATCAGACTGTAAGATCAAGTTTTAAGTGATTGACATTTTAAAATGTTAGAAACGTACAGTTCCATCATATTAAGTCTTAGAATTTTATTTTTGAGCATATCGGTTGTGAACTAATATTAACATGTAAAGAAAAAAATGGATTTCAAGGTATAATCATGACATCCACACTATAACTTTACTAGTTCTAATACTGACGTGCAGATTACATCTAGGTGTAATTATGACATGCAGAAAACATTCAAGTGTAATTGTGATATTAATACTGTAATATTACTGAATCTAATTTGACATTAGTACAACCATATTGTTAATTTAAATTAAGTTGAAAAACCTCCCATTTCTAGGTTTAATCATAAAATATACACTACAGTAGTAGATTTAATATTGACACAAATACTGCAGTATTCCAAAGACTAATCATAACATTATCTGTTTTACTACATGTAATGATGACATTAATTTTTTCAGATTTAATATTGACATAAATACTTAAACATTTTTGATTATTAAGAACTGAAAAATACCACATTTTTTTATTGTTTTCACACTTAATTAATATCAACATGACCAGCATTGCATATTGGGATCTGATGTTAAGATAGGCATTATCAAATTAGCAAGTTCAATTTTTAGTTTTATTCTTGTTGCTTCTACTAAATTACTGGATGTTTTCTACCACAGAGGGCCGAGTACAATGTATAGAAACTATTTTGGAGTCTTGTGACATTGCTATAGCTCAAGTTGGCATGCTCTTTCTGATGATCATACATCTTGATAATAGTCCTGCAGCATAGTTTTGCTGCAAAAGGCTTTGTAATATGTTATCATGTCCAAAGTAGATAACTCTTTCCTGTATGCTTTCCTTGATACCTTTAGAGGGTGGGGGTTTCCCAGAACCCTTTGCTAACAGTCTGTTTGTTCTCATAGAAATTCATATGCATAAAGAGAAGGTGTGACTCAAATCCTTATTACATTTGCATTGTTTCAAGAGAGAGATCCTTCTTGATTATGTTGTGTATTGTTGCCTGGAGCATGAATGGCTTATGCTGCTGACTTTTGTATATATGGATTCTAATTTTTTACAATGTGCCATACTTTACTTATCACGACTAGTGTACAACTTATTACAGATCTCTTTTTGGATGATTCTGGAGCCCCAAGTTGATCCACATTCTTTTGTTTTCCAACTTTATTAAGTACAAGAGATATCCCTGTTTTAAAAATTCTAAATCCCTGATGTGAACACATCTTTATGATCCAACTGTATGAATATTTTGTGTTGGGAAAGTCTGTTATATACATAAGTGATGAATTTGTTGTTTTTTGGTTGCATCACACTACCTACAAAATGTCAAAATACAGTTCTTATACATTCTGTTACATCATGACTATTGACTGTGGTTGTCACATGACTTGATGCTTTGCTTGTTCAAAATCATCTATATGAGTAATAAGCTTGCATTTGTCTGTGTGAAAGTGTTCTTGCAACTTTTTCAATTAAATGCTACAAATCTGATATTGTTAGATAGTCCTTTGTCCAAGAAGCCTGGATTGCATATTGGATTTTCAATTCAGAATTACCATACTTGTTTTTTGCTTAGTCACACTTTTTAATTCAACAAGTATGCTACATGGCACAATGTTGTTATGTGATGACTGCCTTCAATTTCATCTTTAGTTTTTTTATTTGCAAAGTATTTCACACAACCAACACTTAACCCACATGTGATTTCCTAAAAAAAAGTAACATTACACTAATTTGGGCTTTATCGACTTATTTAGGTCTATGATATGCATGTGCAGTTCATTCAAAAACATATGCTTATCACCTTGTGAACAGGCATTCAGACATTTCTACATATTCAGCTAAGTTTGCCTTCATTACAACTTTATGTTTACTTTACAATAATATTGTTTCAGTTTACTTCATAGACTGCTTTAAACACCTTTAAGCTACGTTTTTCTTTAGTACAGGTTTTATTCTTCATTTTTGTGAGTTTCAACTTGTAAAACTGTGTCATACGCTGAAGCCTCATAACTGTCTTATATGCTGTACGCTGTTATAAATACTGTTGCGTCAGTATAAATACTGTTTCTTTAACTATCCTGTACCTTGGCGAATGCTCTAGAATTTACTAGATATAGGGTAGTCTGGTATATAAAAGAGGGTGACAACGTGATGGAAC